TTTTTTTTACGCCCCACAGATGCTCTGAAAGGGATGCCCAGCTGGGCCTCTGTGTACATTCCAATGAGGCTGTACCTGCTGCTCCAGGTAGGTTCTGGAAAAGATTCTTCTGTTTATTTGTTTTTGAAACAGACTATTTATAACATTTAGGCCATGCTGGCCTCAAACTCTGAATCTTCCTGCCTCTTGTCTCCCAAGTGCTGAGAGTATGGTGTGGGTATACCATCACACCTAGCTTTATAGACTAAGTCTCCACTCATTTCTTTCCTAGCTTTTGTGAGGAGTCTTACGGGGTTGATGAACTCTTTTTATTGACTCAATCCACAGAAATAATAATCCTGAGTCACCACTTAGAGTGTACCTGCCAGGCATTTGATAAGTATTATATGCCATGTAGTGTGAATACTATGGTGTCCTGTCTTAGTTAGGGTTTCTATTGCTGTGACAGAGACCACGACCAAAAGCAATGTGGGGAGGAAAGGGTTTATTTCATCTTGTAACTCTCAGGTCATACTCTATCACTGAAGGAAGTCAGAGCAGGAGCTGAAGAAGAAGCCATGGAGGAGACACACTGCTTACCAGTGTGCTTCTCGTGGCTTGCTCAACCTGCTTTCCATATAAATAAATCCTGTCTTAGGACTGCCTGCCCAGGGGTGGAGCTACCCTCCCCATGGAAAGGCTCACCCACATCAATCTCTAATCAAGAACATTCCCCCACAGGCTAACTGGGGGCTTTTTCTCAATTGAGGTTCCTTCTTCTCAAATGACTCTAGCCTGTGTCCAGTTGAAAAAAAAAGAAGTAATCAACACATCCTCCTTATCCATGAAAGATCCATTCTAAACTCACCATTGAACCCTGAAACCTCAGAGAGTATTGAATCCTATTACACTACGTTTTTCATATATATACATACACACACACACAATATTTATGGTATGGTAAAGTTTACTTTTAAAATTAGGTCAAGTAAGACATTAGCAACAGTGATTAATAATGCAATAAACCAATTATAACAATCTACTGTAATAAAGTTATATGACTATCATTGCTCTTTTCTCTCCAAATATTTCAATTTCTCATTGTAATATAATACTATTTTCAGGCTGTCATTGATGATGGGTAACTGAGAGAAAGAGAAACCACAGATTGGAAGGGCTTCTGTATATGTATAGTGTGTGCTGTCATTTAATTTCCACTAGTTACGGTGAACTAATGAGAAATGTACACTTAGAAGTTAAGCATCTTGCCTCACGTCACATAGGAAGTAAGTGGTCAGACTGGGATTGGAGGTGCTTCCCACGCATCTCCTGCGCCTCGCTTCTGTGACCTTCACCCTCCTCAGACAATATGCAACCCCACACAGATAAAAGGCACCCTCATACCAGCAACAGCTAAAGGGTGGTCAACTGTTCTTGCCTCGTATCTCCCTGTTCTCCTAGGTGAAGGACTTCACATCGGCTACGCCGTTGGTGGGCTCCTCAGTGTTCTGTTGATTTTGATGGTGATCGCAGCTTTGATGCTATACAGGTAACCTCAGCTTTGCTGTAGGGTGACATATTCTTTGGTGCCTGTTAGCCTCTCTGGGTTCTCTTGAAGCTCCGCAGTTTGCTGAATACTCCTCCACACAGCCTCGTTTCACTACTGGGCTCCAGATTAGAGTAGCAGAAGGAGAGAGTGTAAACCTAATTATTCTTCTTCTGCCGCAACCTCAGCAGTTTCCTCACTGGGTGGCTGACTTTCTGTACGCCTCTCTACCGCAAACCATTGGAATTGCAAACTGTCTTCCCTTCACACAAGCACAAACTTTCACCAAACACGGTTGGCACAGCATTGCTCGATAGAAATCACTTTGAGAAGGCACGATGTGTCGTTTTCCATTGAGGATCTTTTCGTGTGCCTTTTTCTTTATATTTTCTTCCCAGTGCTCTCAACGTGGCAAACAACAAAACTATCTGAATTTTGCAGCCATTGCTGAAAATCATAATCTAATAATGCAGCTGCCACTGAAAATAATAATCTGATAATAATAATAATACTTGCCTTTTAATGGAACAGTATCCATGTCCTAACCTGGTAATCTTAGCATTTCTGCTGCTGTAAGGAAACATTGTGACCAAAACCTTGGGGAGGAAAGGGTTTATTTTGATTCCACATCAATGTTCTCATCAAAGGAAGTCAGAACAGGACTCAGGGGCAGGAGCTGATGCAGAGGTCATGGAGGGGTGCTGCTGACTGGATTACGCCTCCGGCTTGCTCAGTCTGCTTTCTTTTTGGTTTATTTTATTTTATTTTTATTTTTTTGAGACAGGGTTTCTCTGTGTAGCGTGGCTGTTCTGGAACTCACTCTGTAGACCCTGCTGGCCTCAAACTCAGGGATCCACTTGTCTCTGCCTCCAGAGTGCTGGGATTAAGGTGGTGCACCACCACACCCGGATTCCAGCATGCTTTCTTATAGAACCTAGACCACAACCTAGGGGTGTCCCCACCCACAATGGGCTGGGCCCACCCACATCAATCAGTAATTAAGAAAATCCCCTACAGCTTGCCTGCTTGCATACCAATCCTACAGACCAGTAGTTCTCAACCTTCCTAATGCTGTGACCCTTTAATACAGTTCTTCATGTTGTGGTGACCCCCAACCATAAAATTATTTTTTGTTCTACTTCATAACTCTAATTTTGCTGCTATTGTGAATCATAATGTAAATATTTTTGGAGCTAGAGGTTTGTTGAGGGGTCACAACCCACAGGTTGAGAACCACTGCTATGGACTCATTTTTCTCAGTTGAGGTTCCCTCCTTGCAGATGACTATAGCTTGTGCATGAGCCTAGCCAGCACACCTGGTAACAGAGGTGCTAGTCCTCACTTTACAGACAAGGATCTGAGCTTCAGAATGATTAGATTGTGTCTACCCATATTCCAGCTGGTAGATCACAGAGATGGGATTAGAACAAAGATCCATCTCTGCATAGCAAGTAACCCCAAAAGGCACTGAGTTAACATGATACCCATTCATGGCCTCACAGTTCATGTGGATCAGAAATCTGGATGCAGCTTCACCGTGCGCTCTGCTTCTAGGTCCCTCACAGGTTGTAATCTGGGTAATAGCCAGAGTTACGACCTCATCTCAAGGCTTGACTGGAAAAAAAATCCTTCCACATCTACTCAAATCATTGTTGCCAGGATGCAGTTCTTTACTGGCTGTTGGTTGGAGATCTCCCTTGCCTGCTGCTTGCTTGTGGACTTACCTATAAAACAACTCACAACATGGCAGTTTCTTTAAAGGATGAGAGGGAGGGAGAGAGGGAGAGAGGGTGAGCCGTTCAAGATGGAGACTAATCTAGTATTTAGTGCTTTTGCATAATGGGTTCATTAGAAGTGAGTGGCCAGCTCCAGCCCACACTCGAGGGTGTGAGTGCCAGGAGGCAGGGTCGCCGGGACCTGCAGAGAGGCCGCTTCCCACACAGCTTACAGCTTCCCCCAGTATCATTCCTATGAAGAGCTCCACTAATTTCTGCGTAATTTTTCCTCTTGAAGACACAGAAAATCTAAACTCACGGACCCTGGGATGGGAAACCTGACCTACAGCAACCCCTCCTACCGAACTTCCACCCAGGAAGTGAAAATTGAAGCAGTTCCCAAACCAGCCATGTATAATCAACTGTGCTATAAGAAAGAGGTAACGGTGGAAACATCTGTTGAGTTTTTTCTGGGGCTTGGGGAGCAGGAGAGAGGAATTACGACTGAATTGCCTAAGTGGATGAGTAAGGACTGTGCGCTGTCTGGTCTACCACGTTGAAAATTATAGCGAACGGAAAACTGAGTGTTATTTGGGTTTCTGCAGAGATCTAGAATCTTTGGGTGACATAGTAAAAGCAAGGCTAGAAGACTTAGGTCTGAAAGCAGTGGCAGTGAGTATCTTATCTCCCTGAAGGAGATTT